TTTGACTGAAGAATATTTTTCCCAGTTTACATCTCTATTTTTGCTTTCTATCTCTACTACACAAAGACCCTCCCCACGATATTGTACAGTTTTCAACAGAAAAATTGCTATAGTAGGACATCTTACAAAGATACGGTCAAACTTACAGAAATATATGCCAATAACTGCGATGTGTGCTGTTCTCTTACCAACAGTAAAGGCTAAATGGAAAAGTTTGTTGGCCAAACCAAGGAAGAATATGAACACATCTCTACCACTTTTACAATTAATTTGAGCCTTTATATGTATTTTCCTCACCTTATAGTAAGCCTTTGCATTGTTAAAGAGAAGCTGAAAATCGGCAGTCAGCAAATTCACATCATCATATTCCTCCATCTTTAGTTTTTGTTGGATTTTCATTAAATCGATTGGCTGAGAAACCACTTCATAATAATCTGGCTGATTTCTGTCACAAGGACAAAAACAATCATTATACTCTAAGCAGTAAAACCAAAACCACAGCACTAAAGTTTCTATGTGTCTATAACTAAATAAAACAAAGAAAGTTCCAATACATTTTTGTTGCAGCTAAAAGATCTGGACAGTGGTCTATTAGTAAGCTTACTTTATTACACATTCTCTTATCATCCTGAATTTTCTGACTTTAAGATAAAATTCAGTTTCTTACTTTATCTATTGCATTTTCAAGGGTCACTTCTATAAATCCTCCCAAGATACACCCTTAGTATTACATTCCACCACTTATGTGGAATATTCTATAGTCAAAGACATAGATGTTTTAAGCAGGTGTCACAAGAAACATTTTATATTAATTCAGGGTATCCTTTTTTGTCTGAAAAAGGGCATCAATGTTTGCATGACCCATTGAATAATTACATCAAATACTCAGATCAAACAGTGATGTGAAACTATGACAAATTTAGCTTAAATTTTTCACAGCTATTAATGTTGAAGTATTCATCAACATCCACTTACTCCTTGATTAAATCTCAGGGTCAAGACTTAACCAGAACCATGGTCTTACCTTCGCTTCGGTGCCCTAATGAAAAGTTCACAAAGGAGCCTCCCCTGCTCATCTTTGTAATCTCTGATGGTGTTATAAAGTTCATGGCATACAGCAATCTAAAATTCAAGAACAATAAAGCAACAAAAAGGAGAAAATTTTAAGCAGATAACAAATCAAACCCTGCTTACAAGGGGAAAGACAAGCTGCCAATCCACAGCGTGCTCAAAAGCAGAAGTGTGAAGAAACTGGTGGATCTCACACATTGGAATGATACCTGACAAGTATGCCAGGTACTGCAGAATTTTTTTTTTTTTTGTACAAAGAATTAGCATTGAAAGAAAGTTCCCTAAGTAAAACACCCAAAATGTAAATTAATTCAGTACAATTCTCTCTGAGTTACAGACATCTAAAACAACAGGGGTTCTTCTGCCCTGCAATTAATTAAAATTAGACTGTTAAAGACATAACAGACATTGTACACTTCAGCAATCACTGCCTGTGCTGTTCCTCGCTTATCACTCTCTGCATTTGCTATTCAGACATAGCTCTCAACTTTTGCATGTTATGATTTCAGCTCCTTCTCCAACATCCTTCCATCTGCTAAAATCACCAGCAAAAAAAAAAAGTAGCAAAAGGAAAATGGGAAAGAAAAAGGGGAAACTGGGGAGACAAAAACAAGCCAAAGCTGAACAAGATCCTAAACAAAGCTTAGCCAGGGCAGCAACAGATTCAGGGACAGCGTATATCTACTACATATGATCACCCATTTTACAACCCAGCATTTCCCAGACAGGGGTACAGTATTCCCAAGAAAAAAGGTTGTGCATAATACAAAAGTACTAACAGGATCTACAGTTGGAAGATTGGAAAGTCTCCTCCTCTTTCTGCTTGGGCCTGGTATATTTGTGGAGTGGTGGCCATCATCAAAGTCTCCTCCGCTGACACTGCTGGAAGGCGAGGTAGCTCTTCGCCTCTTGGAACCCATGGAATCCAACTTCTTCTATAATGAAGAGACATGTTCTTAAACTCATGGCATTGCATCCAAACTCGCTGCTGAGAGCTAACTATGAAGCCAGCAATGCTTTACGACGAGTCACATGCGTTTGTTCTACACTACAGTTCAGTTAAGCCACATATCTAAACACCAGTTTTTGAAAACTGGCAGGAGCAAAGGGAAATCAGAATGGTCCTACAGTTTTATAGTTACTGATGACAGCAATGTCAGAAAGCCTAGGGCTCACAGTGATGAAGATGAATCTAGCAGCCCTTACTAGGACACGTTCTTAAACTATCTACATTTTGATACCTCATCCCATGCATGATAACTAAATGAGAACTGCTGTTTTAAAAGAAAGAGCTGTACACAGACAAGTGCTCAGTTCTAGTGTAAAAGCATGCCATTCCATGCCAAATCTAAAAATAATTAAAAAAAACAACAACAAAACAAACAAAAAACTCAAACAAAGAAAAAACCCATGAACAAAACAGATCACAGACTAAAATTCAAACAGCTATTGAACACCTTGTCTTAGATTCAAGCCAAAAAAAAGGTCTGGACCATCGTGTGACCTACCACTCCCACTTTAAGTGTAGGATGAATGGCTCAATCACCAAGAAACAGAAGCAGCGAGCTCCTTTTTTGGCCATAGTCTTCCATTTATCAACACAAACAGTGACAAATGAATAACCACCATCCAACAAGTATGGTGATTTAAGGAACAAGTTGTTGGCTCTTTCCCAATTTCCAGTGACAGCATCATAAAAATATCTTTATTTGCAGCTGTCTCAAAGGCTGAAGACAGAATAAATCCATCTATCCCAGCCTACGCCCATTTTCCAACCGAATCAAGGAACTACTTTTAGGAAGCATTCAGTTAATTTACAAGGTATGGCAGCACAATGTAACTGCATTAGAGTATTGATGTTAGAGACCAAATAAATTTCAAGCACACAAATGAGATTAATAAAGCAGGAATAATTAACAGTTAGGATAAAGAAAAGCAAAAGCCTAAGGCAGAGAAATGGGGAGAATGGTGCACATACAATCAATAATTTACCAGATTTACCAGAGTACAACCAGCACCTCGAAAAGCCAGTCTCCTCATAGTGTCTGATGGTCAAGTACAGATACTGGGAGAAGGTAACACTCTAAGAGTAGCAAATCAGCAATGGTGTTAGTACAGTCAAAACTGGAAGACAAGAAAAAGGAAAGAGAGAGACAAGAAAACTGAAAGTAGATATAGACAGATTCTTAAATATTAAGAATAAATATAATATAGACAAAGAATAACATCAAAGAATAAACTGAATAATTACAGTGACAGAGGAAAAAAGCAAGAAACAGAAGGTAACTTTTTTTAGCCTAGCAGAAACTCTACAAAGTAATTTTGTACACAGAATGCTAGACATTTCTGTCATTTCTACAGTAAAACACATTTCTCTAATGTTCCTGAATACATATTACAGATTTCACAGCCACTTGCAAGAGAATGATTCATCAAGCAGAGCAGAGAGTAAACATAAGCAATATCTGACCTGAGAGTAAAAACCAGAAAGCAGTAAAACTTACAGCATGTGAAGCAGTACAGTGCTTATAACAATAAGAATATAATTTTTAAAGTCAAGCAACATTTAATGTACTCTCTAGTGATGATGCACCTCCATCAGTCTTCAGAGTGAATTTTTATCCTCGTAAGTAAGCAACATTAAGGATCCAGCCATACAAATTCACTAAACATACGACTGTTTCAATTTCTAAGCAGTCTCCAACTCCAATTTTTTTTCTGAAATTTCACGTGAAATGTACAGAACCACTTTATGGCAAAACGATTGCTTCTATTTAGTTCATACAACTACTGCCTTCAATCAAACCCCCGAGAGATTGTTTTCCTGTTCGATATTCTGGACATTTTCATCACACACACACAGAAACTTTGTGCTTTATCAGCAGGCAATTCATCTCAGGAACAGACAACCAGCCTGCTGCTTTGGCACTGCTTCCAACTTTTATCTGAGGGCTACAGTATCGAATGGCTGACACCAGGCGTGTGCTGATGCGGAGGCTGCTAGAAAACACAAGTTCTTGGTTGTGAAAAAATGGCAGTAGGGACTACTGGAATCAATAACTCTGGTTCACCCAGGAACCCAAAAGCACACTCAGTCCAGTCCCATCCTGAAATAAAGGTTTGGGGAGCCCCTGCCTGCAAACTGCACGTAGGCTTCTCCACGGCCGTTACCTGAGGCACATACACTGCGCCTCTCAGCCATACGCAGATGCTGGTGTACACTTGTACGATCAAGACACCTGGCCATTTGTACGCAGCCTCCAAAAACATTCTTCTCCTCTAGCAACCGAGGAAGGTGCAAACCACATATCGGTCCGAACAACATCATGAACATCCAGCGAGAGAAGTGCTTATGTAAAACTCCTACCGAATGTCCAGCTCCAAAATGCAAACTTCTCTCTAGATCTCCACGCTCATAAACACAGGTAATCCTACTGCGCACAGACTCATATTCTGTTTTACTTAAGAACACGTCTCCTAGACTTTCTTCCGCAATGTAACTGCTAGCTAAGAATCTCCACCACTACAAACAAGCCACCTCCTCTGCAACAGGAGCTTGGGCATCTTAATAACTGCTCACACCACCCGTAGAAATGTCACATAACCATAGACACCTTTGTAAGAAATGCTTTGGCCATTACTAACGTGCACATATACCAATATACACACAACGGGTGGGAGACTCCCTCTCCCGAAAGCTGTACAAGAGCGATCACCGCAAGTATTACTCAGTCTAACCTCATTAAATGAACAGTTCTTTATGGGCATTTGAGATAACGTGACTTGAAGCACATCAGTGAGGTCTAGCACACATTTCGCTTTCTACCTCCAAGCAGAAAAAAAAAAGCTAAAATCTGACAGATACCCCAGAAAACATTTTATCGTTACCAGGCGCTCTCCCACGTTTCAACAGAAATGCTCATTAAATCATGGTAAATTTAGTACGTGGAACCAGGGAGGGAAGCAGCCAGCATTTCCCCCGATCACCGGTTGCATCGAAACCAGCCACAACATCGGCAAAGGCGGACGGCAGAAGACAGCCACTACCAAAGCCCAAAGTTGGCGAAGAACCGAGAGGCGCAGCACATCGACGCTTCTATCAACGCCGGGACAAGAAACAAAGCGGCAAAGCGCCTCACCTCCCCGCCCGGGTTGCCAGGTGTTGCTGTC